TAAAATACTACTTTGAATTTTTTTCTGTTTCAGATTTTTTTTGTTATACAAAACCAAGTCAACGAACAAACCAACACATAGAATGTCGAAGTGAACGCACATCTTAGTGACACATAAAATTGACACCACCTAGACCACCTAACGCAACATTTGTTGTTGTTTTTTTTTCTCAATTCTCGATTTATTTCTTTTGTCTTTGCAAGGGTGGCTCCAGGGGGCCATGCCTCCCCCCCCCCGAGATGAAAATTCTTACGATTTATGGTCCTTTTATTCAAAAAATATGCTAATAGAGAATGGCTAAAGGCAATGCCACTCCCCCCCCCCCCCCCCCCGAAAATTCGTCATGGAGCCGCCCTTGTGTCTTTGCTAATTGGTTTAATTTTATTATTAATATGAGTTTGTCAACTGGATTTATAAAAGCTGATTCAAGTGTTTTACCCATTGTAAACGAAGATATGATTACTGCGTTTTTTTAACAATACTCAGTTTATTAGTGCTAAAGTTAAGCATGTTAAGACAGAAAGATAAGTAACGCTTTATTTATAATTTGTTTTAATGTAGTTACAGTTTATATGAAGCAATACACCTTATAGTAAAAACATATTTATCTCAGGTCATTAGGGTTGTCGAACAGTAACGGTTTTTCATAAATAAACATTTTACCTTGACCATTTACCTCATTTATATGTATTTTTCTTATAATATATTAGCGTACACTGATATCCACAAAAAATAATACTAGAAATTGGGACGATATATCTGTACCTTGAAGCCAATCTCTAATTTGAGCAACAGAGTGACGTTTAAAGCTGTGCTGTTGGTATTATTTCTATAATTAGAAGTAAAAGTTTAATAATGTATTTTACCTGAGAAATAGCAAATTTGTTATTGTATAAAACGAGTTTATACAATTTGCCTACTTTAAAAATTAAAACTTAATAACATCTAAAATTATTTAGAAGGGTAGTGCACATGTATTTACTGTACTAATATTTTTATTTGGTCGAGAATTACCTATTTGCTACATGTCATTGAAAATCATTGTAATTTAAGTACATTTTTGTGTATGAATTAGTACTTTTTGTAAATATACAAACTATTATATACATGTTTAGTATTTACATGAATAAATCTACAATAATATTGCTAAATTAAAATAATAAAAACACAAATATGTTTATATTTTATGAAATAATTTGGAAGAAAGAAAAGTAATAAAAATTGAAAAATAGAAATCCATAAAAATGTACTCCTGAAAATACTAAAAAAATCATCATTTTATTAAATACTTTATTATTTTTAGATCTGCCAAGCAAGTATATAGAGATAATGCGATTTTCCATGAATAACTTGAGAAAAGGAGATATTTGCACAGTAACCGAAAAATATACACATAAAGATGAAGTATTTTGCATTGTTTCTTCCACATTTAAAGTAAATAATGAGGTCGATAACAAGTTGAATTTGATAATGAATCTTTAAACAAAATTTTAATTTGTGCATCTCCATTATTGTTAGGGCTTATTTATTTTTTATTATTGGTTAATAAAGTGTTTTTTACTGCGTTTATCTTATTCAGGTAATTTTATTTTTTAATAATAATTTTCAGAGATTTTACATTTTTGTTTATATACAATTATGATAATCTCTAAAATGTGATAAATTAATAAAAAAAAACAGTTTATTAAATTACTAGGTATTTAGTCATACAAAATGAGTTTTTTTAAGTTAACAATAACACTAATTCACACAGAAATGTAAAAGTTTTATGTAAGTTACACTTTCCTTCTCATAAATATCATAAATGAGGATTATAAAAACACTGTTGGGCAATCCTAAATATACCTTCGGTTTATTTTCAGTTATTTTAAGAGTTTATTGATTTTGAAGATCCTGCTAATTATTATTAAGTCTGATTAGGTACATGTAGACAAGTACTATTTTACATGATATGTGATTAAACAGCCACTGTCATGTTTAAAATGGAGGATTTACTCATTGTGTTCTATCTGTACCTAAAAACCGACATTAGCTTACAAAACTAATAAGGAAAAAAATACTTTCTGGAACTTTCCAGTTTTAAGGAACTCCTGCTACACTTTTTAAAGCATTTCATAAAACAATAGCAAAAACGAAAACCTCAATAAAGCAATCATAAGTTCAATCCTTAGACGGGCATAACCTTACCTCACCTAACAATTCCTTCAAATGTAAATATTAGTTATAATATAATAACCAGTATTCTCTTTCACTGGTCATTTCCAGAATATTTGGTGCCTCTAAATGGTCCTTTGATATTTGTTCAATAATGAAACTAAATAAATTTGTTAAATACTGAGGAAGATAAACATATATATCATATAATTTTTTTAATTTTCTGTGGAAATTACTACTTTTCTTTATTTTAAGCAAGTTATCTTGCAACGTTAAAATCATGTGATTGGGTTGAAAAGCTAGGTTATGTTCTAAAACAAACTTTAGTTCTTATTAAAACTATGTAGTTTTAAAAGAGCCCTATCGTTTACTACATTAAATAAATTATAAGATTTATGTGGTAAAATTGTAGAAAATATACCTAAAAGGTTCTGGGATTAATTTAATTTAAAGTATTGTTACGAATAAATATAACACCCTGTAAATAGGTATGTTATGATTTGTAAAGTTTTGTCCAAGGGCAGGCGCGCCAAACAAATATTTGATAAAATATTAAAACGTGTATTTGGACAAGGTTTTATTAAATCATAATATTAAAGTACATGGTCAAAAAAAGATTAACAAGAGCACTCTTTAAACTTTTCAAGTGAATATTCGGGCAGTTCCTTTTGGTCTACGTTGACGAGCGGTCGAGAATATTCGAATAAAGTATATTCCTTTTTTTGTGTCCGAAAATAGAGACACGGTCGAGATTAGTTTGTTTAGTAAAAACTATAGTGGTAAAAGTAACGTTTGCTTCCGCCAGCCTTGCAGCCCAATAATGCTTATGTAAGTAAATAGTTTTAAGTAATTGTATTTAGTAATTGTAATTAAAGACTACGTGATTGCGGAAACAATATTAGTTGTTTTTATTTGTTAAATAAATCACAGTTATTTGTTTTACACTTGTTTCAATTTTCTTTGGTTTAGGAAAACTCGCGATCATTCAAAGGCGGTATTGGCTTAGTCAGATCTTTGAGAGAGGGAGATACTGCCAAAGGGAAGACTCCCCGTAGGGCAAACCCTTTCCCCGTCCTCTGAATCATCGTCAGGAAGTTAAATGTCCCTTCTGAACTTAACCCCCTAGCCGTGTGATATCTAGAGGCCAATCTAAATACAAATTGGGCTTCTCTATATAACTCGTGGTTACCGCTAAGAGTGGACTTTAGGGTCAGTCAAAAAGGCCTATATTTTAACTCTTAACCGTATAATCCCAAAACACTTTTTGAAACTTAGTTTTAAAACCTACTTAAGATACCTGCTAAAAATTATGCCTCTTAAACACCAAACCCACCTTAAAAGTATCTTCATAGTTCTAAAATTACTTATTTGCTACTCCTTGCAGGACAAAGATAAAGCATAATTTATTTTAGAATAAACTAGTTTTCTTTCAAGGAATCTATAAAACCAAGCAATAAGATCAATTTATTCTGCAGACCTATTACCACAAAATGTAATCGTAAAAAAATAATTATTAAGTTTTATGCTTTTAAAAAATTCTAATAAAACATAAATATAATTTAATTCTGCTAAAAAAGTTACTTTGGTAGGTAGCGAGGAAGCAAGCACTCTTGCATCGGTCTCTCGATCCCAAATGTATAACTATGTGCAACTTAGACGTAAAGATACCGTTTTCTGTCGCCTTATGCGGACGTTTCCTTCTGTCTCGTGCCTCGGACTCGCGTTCTCAAATCGTACCTTCAGCAAACTCTACTCACTTTTTGTTAAAAGAATCCCTTCTATGTATATAATATGCCAACTTCAGTAAATGTAAGTGTAAAAATATTCTCATATTTTTTTAAATTAATTTAATGTGTTAAACGCATATTTTTAAAATTATTTTCGCCCTCGGATGAATCAAAATGGAGGCCGGCCCAGAACCGAATCCTCGGGCTACGCTATTTAACAAACTTGGCGCCAGATATTGTTTCGGCTTATCACTAAGATCTCAGCTTCCTTTTCCGCTTGCCAGAAATGTATGCTAATGATAGAGATAATTAGGATGTTATGTTAGCTGTAAGCAAACATGTTTGCTTGCCGCATCGGTTTACACCAAATTTCACACGGGTCTCCAATGTGATATTTTGAAGACTAGCTAGTTAGAAAATTGTTTCGTTGCCGTTGGTTTATCGTTTTCAGGTTTCCGCGGTTTTTCTTTTGACTTATTTCCATTTTTAATTATTGAAGTACCCTTTTCAGCGTTCAATCACCTTATAGGGTTAAATAACTGACTAGTTTGAAGCGAGAGTTTACAATTTTCTCAGTTTCAGCTATAAAATATTTACAAAATTTCATTTATACCATTAGATTTATACACGTATATTAAATAATGCCTTTTATAACTGAGTAATTCAACAATAAATTATTTTATAATTAACCGTAGCACACTTAGTTTTCAGTTGTCAGTTGTGAGTACTGTTTATGTTAAGTTTGTGGTTGTGTCATCTACTGTCTCTTTATCTATTATTTGTATGTTGTCAACAAACAATGCCCTGGAACTATATTGTATGCAAATCCAAGTGTTAGGAGCGTTAATAAATACACGCTTCTGATATTGTGACTGACTGAATTGCATTGCTTCAGATATATTCGAAATTCGCAATGGTAACAAAAGAGTGTTATAATTAATATCTCTTGTGCAAAATAAAAATATTTCATAAACATATTGCATTCATATATTATTTTACAACCAATAATTATTTTTTATTGACAGCGTAAAGCTAAAGGCTTAGTTCCGCTTGTGCAGCAGACGCATGCAGCCACTGTTTGTAGCCGCTGCTGCAGCGGTCGCAGGAACTGATATCTGTGCATCGTTATGGTATTGGTTCTGCTAGTGCGTCGGTCGTATTACATCGCATGCGACGGCTGCATCAACTGCTAGGAGGACCAGTCTGGACGCAGCAGTCGTTTTTCGGTAGTGTTTGGAGATATTGTTTTTGTTTTATAATTCCTTGGTTTTATATAATAATACAAAAGATGAGTGGTAAGAAACACTTCTCCCGTGATGAGAAAATGGTACTAATTGAATTAGTGTCATTTCACAAATGTTTGTATGACAGTTCGGATAAAAAGTTTAAAGACAATATTGCCAAAGATAATGTGTGGAAAGAAATAGCATCTCACATTGAGGGTAAAACAGGTATGTAATATAAACTTTTTTGCTAATAATATTATAATATATATAAAGTTATCATTTAAAGAAACACAGATAATGATATATACAACAAAGTTCTTAAGTTCTTAAAACTTGATTATCCTGCCAAGGTATTCTTCTTTAGGTCATAAAAAAATCTTTAAATTTATCCCTTACGACAAATCCTTCGGCATTGGCAAATCCACCACCTCTTACTAAAGGTAACATATTTCTTCTTTCTTGTTCGACTGCTATATTTGGTCCAAGCTCAATACATTTTCTGGTGTCATCCAAATCTTCTCTCAGTAAATTATGGAGGCACACTGTTGCCATTATTAACAAACCTGCAGTGCTTGACTTAACTGCAAGAGGCGTAAAAAAAACTCTGAACGTTTGGCATAAAAATCCGAAAGTGTTTTCTGACACCCTTCTGGCTCTACTAAACCTGTAATTGAAAACAGATTTATCAAAACTTTCTCGCGCCTGATTTCTATTGTAGGGTTTCATTAGATTGGGATAAAGTCGAAAAGTTTCATCTCCAACAATAACGTAAAGCAAATTAGTTTGTGTGCCCTGCAATATATTTTCTGGAAGAAAACAAAATCTGTTGCTATATATCTGTTTGCCTATGGTAGACTTCGCAAATATTCCACTATCACCCTCTTTGCCATACGATCCAATATCCACAGCTAAAAATTTATATCTAGCGTCAACAACAGCCAAGAGCACAATTAAAAAGATGTTCTTATAGTTAAAATATAAGGATTCACTCTTTGGTGGACATACTATACGGACATGTTTCCCGTCAACTGCTCCGACACAGTTGGGAAATTGCCATCTTTCCCCAAATTCTATCGACTTCTGCTTACATATACTTTCATTAAGGCAAGGCAATAAAACAGGTACTAATCTTTTACATATCGACGAAAGAACAGCACTAACAATTCTGGACATGTGGCAGTGTGTAATCCGGAACCCAGAAGCGAGAGATCTAAATGATTCGCCAGTTGCCAGATATATAAAATAAAAAATTGTTTTATTTTTACAGATGATGAATGCAAAAAGAAATTCGCGATACATACAAGAGACTAAAAAGGAGTGTCAAATTAGGAACTGGATCATCAGCAGCAGTAAAGCGCAAAAATTGGCCTCTGTTCGATTACCTTTCTTTTTTTGAAACGGTTTCAGAGGAAAGAAGGTAATTATAGTTAGTGTTTTTTTTTTTAAACTAGCAAATAATTTAAAGTTTTGATAACATGCTTGTATTTTCTCAGTACGATATCCAACGTAGAGAAAGAGTCACAGGAAAGCAATGAGAAGGCGATTTCTGATGCAGACCATAATTTGGTAGGAGAAACGCAAAGTACAATTCTACAATTCAAACATTCTATTGCCACGCCGTCAACGTCCAGTGTGGCAAGTACCTACACCCCTGTCAGAGCCCATAAGAGAAAAATGGCTGACAACATTTCAAAATTACTTGAAGAGAACAAAAAGGCCAGAGAGAAAATCGTCGAAAAATTTCTGGATAAAACCAATATTCCTCAAGAAGACGATGTAGATGTGTTAAGTGTCAAACGACTTCCCCCGCATTTAATCGCAAAAGCAAAACTTCGACATTTAGAAACTGCGAATGAGTTACAATTGCTAGCTAGCATCTCAACCAAAGGATTTACCTTAACAGCAAAACAGGTCTTCATTAAATAGCTGTGAAGAGTTGCAATGGCAAGGTATAATAATAATCAGGATCAATACGACCAATTACGATATCTTAATTTAGATTAAAGTTAAAGCGTATCTGTTATTTGTCATAAAAAAATAAATATTTTTTCATTTACCTTAACGTTATACCTAGTTTTTCTTCAGCTGTTATTGGTCGTTGAATTATGTTGGTGGGCGCTTTCTTAATGTCTGTTTCAATGGCAGATGCAATGGCCACTGCAACGGCCTATTCCGAGGGCCTTTTACCTTTTTTCCTTAGTTGTGTCCTTTATTAAAAATGGTGTGCTCCCAGGAAAGTGAGTTTGTAGGCGAGCTCTTTCCTCTTCATTCTCCGTGAAGCCTCCATTTGGTTTCTTTAGAAGCATAGCCGTATTCACGTTCCTTTTGGACAGAGCCTTGTACAGTCTTGCTACCAAAGGTATGGAATAAATCTCGCAAAATTTCCTGAAGCTGTTACGTTTAGCCTTTCTGATTTCTATGTTGTAGGTGATAAGTGCCTTGGTATAGCTCTAGCAATCTCCGCTATTCTTGGAGCTGTTCTAGAGTTTATGCAAATTGAATCTTAAGTTTAACAGATTTCTGTTCCACTAAGAAACGTCCCTAAGTTATATTTGGTTGAAAAGGGCAGCTTGATTCTCATATGCCTTAATTTTTGATTCATCCAGTTTTTCTAGATCGCTTTCCAGAACTAATGAGTATCTGGGCCCCTGTTTAGTCTAAATGCGTGCTAAATTTTGTTTTAGAGTGGTGTTGTGTATTTTTTCCAGTCTGTTTTTCAAGGATTATAAATCTTTTTAGAGATTTCTTGTGATCTGCGAAAACATTTAAAAATCGATAATTCTACATATGAAAAAAACATATTTTTCTCCCAACGACTTAACAAATGAATCAAATTTTGTTGTGTGAATTGTAAATTATTCTTTTGTATAAAAAGATATTTTTTTAAAAATATGCAATTTAATGTAAAAAAAAATGATGTGTTCAACATATGGCTTCTCTATAAATTTAATAAATATATTGAGTACGATCCAACTAATAAAAAAATAAATAAAATATGAATTAAAAATAAAAATTATTTAGAACATTTTTTTTATATCTTCATTGTCAACAAAACTACTGAAAAACTCAACTTTTACACACAACTCATTCTAATTCAGGCATGAAATAAAAAAATATTAACTAAATAAATGGCAACTTTTCTTTTAAACCTTTTTTATTATTCATAATATAAAAACAAAATATGATCATGTGCACCATAAAAGGATTGTTACACTTTTTACAGAATTGTGTTACGTTAAATTTTTCAATATTATGTTTTTGTTTTCAAGACTTTTGAAATTGCGAGAGGTAGAGAAAGCTTTTTTAAAACAGACATTGAGAGGATAGTGTTGAAATCCGCTTCGAGAAGAGAATTCTCGTCTAGGTAAAATCTTAATTCAGAAAATATCTCAGAAATTGATAACAGAATACGTGCACAATAGTTTATTTTATATAATTATACCTGGTTTTAAGAACACTTCTTGTTAAATCTCTTAATAGTTAGTTCGTATCATACAAATCATATTAACAATCTCTGTCTCTCTGTCAAAGTTTATCGGGACCAATCCAGCTGATAAACGTCTCTCTCCTCAAACATCTTGAAACTCATAAATTATTAATTATGTTTCTTCGTCGTTTCTTTAGCTTTCACTTTCTTTAACTCTTTCAGGTGTCAGATAAATTTTGTGTTTTTTTTTCGCATTCTATATTATTTTCCGTTATCATTGTCTCATATATTGTGTTGTCTCTTTTTCTAATTTTTTTTACTATTTGTTATATTCATTTTTCCTAGGTCTTCCTTTCTTTTTTTTAATTACATTTTAAGCTTTGTGTCCCAAAATCTAATCATTCACTGGAGGCCAAAATAAAGCTTAAGTTTAAAATTTGGTGTTTTTCTTTTTATCCGTTCATCAGTTATCGCACGCACGCACGCACGCACACATGCACGCACGCAAGCACGCTCACATGCACGCACGCAAACACGCAAGCACGTACGCACTCATTCACGCACGCACGCGCGCATGCACGCACGCACGCACGCACGCATGCACGCTCGCATGCACACACAACACACACACATCTGTATTCTGGATAGCTATTCACTAAGTCATGGGAGCGCTCCCATGGGAGTGCTCCCATATATTTTGCTCTCTTACTCTTAGGTGGGTATATCGTGCTTACTCATTTTTAGCCCAGGTACATGCGTAGTAAGGTCAGATTTTATACTATGGGAGGGAGAATTGCGGGCTTGCCAGATTAGGTCCGTATTTATCACAAAGCAAATTTGAACTACTAAGGGCCGATTCCACCGTTGAGTTAAACGGAGATTAAAATGACATTGTTAATGTAAAAATGTCATTTTAAACTTCGTTTAACACAACGGTGGATCGGTCCTTAAATAGTAGATCAAAGTTATTCTGTCGACTTGGCAACGTTGGCATGGGAGTATAGGAGCATGGGAGTGTGGGAGTGCTCCCATGAGTTAGAGAATAGGTATCCAGATAGGAAAGTAAAAACATTTTACTTCATTACTCATTATTCAATGTTTAGATTTGCCAGTGCGCATCTAACTCTGATCAGCCATCTCAATATTGTCGTACTGTAAGTAATATTCTTTTTGTTGCAATAAATCATCGCATATTCACAAGTTTCTTAACCGTTCCTGGTTAGACATTAACCTATACCTAGTAAATGGTCACTGAAAATTTGCATTACATGTTTCAAAAAATGTTTATCAAGACAGCTACCACTTAATTTTCCATCAACTTATCGTAGACTCTATGCATGTATAAAACATGATAAATGGAATCCAGAAACCTTTTTATATTACTCCCAAAACAGAACACCGGTTCAACAAAAAATATGGTAATAATCTGAAATGTAACATGTAAAATAGGGAGAACACATTCAACGATAAATTCAATTTTCTTTCTGACAAGTTTTCACACAGAAAACTTTCCAAAACTGACCGAAAATATTGTCTAGAGGCAATCCTTAAAGTTTTTATGAATTTGAATAACAGGGGAATATATGTATAGAGACCCGAATCTGTTTTAAAATTAATAAACCTATTAAGCTTTAGTGGTTTTCATGACAGTTCGTTCACTATTTACAATTATTAAATGATCTACTGATTTGTAGTTTAATACTAATGCGTGATTTTGACTATTTTTTGAGAAAGCCGAAATATCAAACTTTTATAGAAAATATAACATTATTTGTTCACCTTTATGGTTGTAGTAGGTTTTCTCGCTACAGAGGCAACGGTTTTCACAAGTGACGCTATAGACCTGGAAATACAGATTTATTAAAGTAGAAACAATTCAATAAGGATTCAAAAAGACTTGGTAACATCACTAAAGAAACTTCTTGAAACGAATTTAAGAAAGCGACACTAGCAGGCTTTAAATGCTAATGAATAAAAAAATAGTTTTCATACACGGTTTAATAACCGCAATAATTATAAGCCAATTGATAGAGTAATCAAATATAATGCTTACTAAAATTACTAACAATAAGGGCAATAATATATTATTTGAAAGTCCACACCTGTTGAAACCCTTGGCATAATAAAGAAATTTTTTCTCCAAATATAAATAACAGATATATTCCATAAAATGTAAAAATGACCCTCTCCAAAGTACCGTCCCAGATGTTTCGACCCTGCGCAAAATCACCAGAGAAGTTTAAAATTTGAGTTATCGAAGATACACACACGGGCGCGCGCGCGCACGCACACACACACACACACATACGCGCGCACGCACACACACACACACACACACACACACACACACACACACACACACACACACACGCGTGCGCACGCACGCACGCATTTTTGGAATTTTAAATGGGGGTGGATGGCTCAGTGGTAGAGCCTCTGCCTGTGGATCCAAGGGTCCTAGGTTCGAATCTCACCGTTGGCCGGAAGTTTTTCATTTAATTTAATTATTTAAAATTAATTCTGATGCCTTGGTAGGATTCCCCACTCGACCATTCACTGTTCGGTTCTAATTAACAGTGCTGTTTCTAAAGTGGCGCTGGGAAACAGTAACAAAGCCTACACAGAACACGAGGCGAAATAACAGCAGTTGAAGCCGATGACACACACAAAAAAAAGAGTTAAAAGTATTTTGTTTGTGTTCTGTTGATTTTTGTAGTACCTATTTGAAAAGTTTAAAGTGTTAACATGTGACAAGGATAGAGCTAACATACAAAGGAACATAACGACATTTGTGTATCGTGGTAGCTAGTATTAAATAAACTGTGGCTCTTTTTAACCGACTTCAAAAAATGAGGAGGTTCTCAATTCGTAGCGATATATTTTTTTTTATGTTTGTTCAGCGATAATTTTTTAACACGGTGTCCGATTTTAATAATTCTTTTTGTTAGAAAGGAGCTACTTCAGGGGTGGTCCCATATAAATTTGGTCAAAATCTAATAATTGGGTCCATGAGAAAATCCTCAAACTCTTCTTTTTTTATGTATGTTTAACGATAATGCTTTACCACCTTGTCCGATTTATATGATTCTTTTTTTTTAGTAAGGGAGTACCTCAGGGGTGGTCCCATATAAATTTGGTTAAGATGTGGTGATGGCATCTGCATGTTTTTGGAGTCGGTTTTTTTTAATTTTTAATTTCTAATTCCTGTCATTACACTTTTCCGTCACGTGTGTCCATTTGTATATCGCAAAATATGTCGTCTCTACTTTATTTTATCTCGATGATGCTACTAGTAGTTCTTTATACAATAGTGATGTTCACATTGTGATATTAGTCCATATTCTCATAGTGGAAAGATAAAGACCATCGCAATTTTCTTTAAAGGCTCACTAGCTAATTTTTTAAATTAAAAATTAATAAAGTAGAAACTATTTGAAGCAAATAATGTATTTTATGGAAATAATTACCCGGTTGATGATGATCGTTTTAAATCGTGTAAGTAATAGCGGGTAATTTAAAAAAAATTGAGAGTAAATGAGAAATAACGGTTGGCATCACTTACTAGTAACGTATATGAGACAATCGATTGTTTTGTTTCACAACAAGAAAAATAAATTATACGTTCGTTCATTCAA